AATATTTCCTAGCTTAAAGGGCGGTAGTCATTGCGCCACACATGCGTGAAATATATGGGTTTCATATAAACAAAGATGGCGACTTAGACTGTTATGCAGATCAAGGAGTACAAACTGAGACTCTTGTCTGGATACTAATACATGTATTATGATCATTAATATATTGCATGCCACACAGGAAAGCTACTTAAGGTAGCAACTCACGTTCGTGGTCTTCCATTCCATTTCTTTTTTCTGGCTAACAGTAACACTCTCTGCAGACAGTTTGTATTTATATTATTAGATATTCGTTCTAAATTGATGACGTGAAAAAAAGGCTTTGAAAACGGTTGACCTGTTTTTCCCAAAAAAACAAAATTTGTTAGTTTTGTTAATTTGCTGACAATAATGATTTTTGCAAAAGTCATTGATATCATTCCTGTTTTACCTTTATAGTTATTTTTGTAGGGATATTCGGTTTTAAAATATTCAAATTTGGGGAGGGGGGGGAAACAAAAATTCGAAAATGTTCTATTAGGCCCTCAAGTCAGAAAATTGAAAAATTGGGTCGGCCGGATTTTTTTTTTTTTTTTAACTCGTGAAAACTAAAGGTATCGTAAATAGCCGAGGTATATGGGGAAAAAAACCGCGACCCGATATTTCATATTTTTCGGTCGGCCGCTGAGGGCAACAAAACAATTTTTTTTTTGGTCTTATGGTGGCCATTTTTAATCCCTTATAAACATGTTTGTGTTGTTTTAAGAAAATAATCTACACTTGATTTGTGATGCAAACAACATTGTGTAAAAATGTTGACTATTTTTGTTTTCTCTTACAGCTTGATCTGATGGGGAGGTCAATCAATGAACATGACCAAAATGTAGACATGGCATTTCTTGCCGAAATCATGGAAGTCAATGAAGAGATAGCTGATGCTAAAACTAAACCGGAATTACTGAAAATTGATGACAAGAATAAAAGTAAGTGGATGGGCTTGCTTTTAATCTTTTAATCTAATCTTAAATATATACATTAAATACATTATGAAAGATTATTATATTTGTCAGATTAGAGCAATTTATTAAATTAAGTAATGTTTTTCTGGTAATTTTTAAATGACAATAATTTTTTCGAAATATTTCATCGTATGAATTAGTCTCAGCGATTGGACCTGGCTGACCTGATTTTAAATGTTAGCTTCATTTCCATAAACAGTTTTATTTTCTATATTAGCTTTCACAAAAAAGAATCATAAAGCTTACAATATATGAATCCAATCAAATATACTCCACTTTTAGTTATAGACATTGCTAACCAATTTGCATGTTTTGGTAACTGATTGTAGAAAAAAATGTTGTCATGATGTGTCTTTTTACATCTCATCACAAACTGTAGGATTTCCTCAGACACAAATATAAGTTAGAAAATATATTGCATTTTATATTTGCATGCATTCAAGAAGAAAAACTTGTTCAATCAGAGAAATTTACTTACTTACGGGTAGTTCATTTCACATTATACTTTATATAAATTATAAAAATAATTGACCTTAGATCAAGAAAACTGTTTCTTGGCAATTTGTTTTTCAAAATTAATGAATGCATTTTATTTTTCAGTTTAATATTATCAATAAAATTGTGCTTTTATCTTGACTTTTAGAAAACTATTTCATATCTTTTCAAAATTCTGCCAAAAAAATGTGAAACGCACAGCTTAAAAACTGGTTCATGCGATGAACAGATTTTTTTTCTGGGCTTTATCTCTATACATGTATACAGAATGCTGTACAAAAATGGTACCAAGCATATTTTGTCTTTAAGAAGAATGTTGTTTGCATTAACGTTTCCAGAGAATTGCACTGCTTATGGACATGATTAGTATTCATGCCAGATGCATACTGCTGAGTACTTGGAATATGACTACGTTATTAACTACCGGTAATATTATTTCTATTTTACAGCAAAACTTGACCAGCTTGTGCATGATTTATCCAAGGCATTTTCTAAAAGTGAGTAAAAATCTTAAAATAAACTCACAAATGTATGTTATGTTCAGATAAGGTACTTCTCTGTTGTTCCTGTCGAACGTAGTCTGAAACATGGACCTGTGTTTTGGGTTTGTTTTCCATGGATATTTCATAGATATACCTGGACGAATCTCATTCAAAGTTGGTACAATGACAAGTCATAATGGTATACATATACACAGTGATTTGTTTTTCGTTTCTGCATTGAAATCACTCATGCTTGGTTACTGATGCACATCATTTTGTTTCGTGACTTAATTAAAAATGGCCGACTGATAGCCTTTTTTTTTTCAAGCTCTCTCCTCATTTCTCAGATAATTTCACAGGTTTGGTTTTAGTTTAGTTTTGGTTAGTTTTGGTTTGGTTTAAATTTGGTACATAATAAATTGCATATTCTCTTCAGTTATTTTTGAACTTTTATGCAATTTAACCGACTGGCAGCCATTTTTTCCCCTAAATAATAAAATCACCAAATGTAAATTTTTCTTAAAGAACTATTACGAATTATTTTATTAATACAATTACATAAATTATGACAATATGACACTATAGATGCATAAAGTTTATGAATTACTGGTAGATCTAGACAAAGAAACATGCTAATTACTCCCAAGTTCTGATGAAAAATAATATGCAAATTAGCCGCAGCTCTATCAAAAATGCATATACCCCGGTACTATCACTAATTACCTGAGATTTGAGCCATGATGGCCACCACCCTTTAAAAACTTATTTCTATAAATATTAGTTTTTGTAACTTTTTGTTTCTACAAATTTCCAGTCCCTTTTCAATGGATGTCAAACCTGAATAATAACCACTGTACAATCAGCTTCTCAGAGAGCTGACATTGAGTATTACAAAGTGTCCTATGTTTCCTTTACAGATGACCTGGACACTGCTAGAGAACTCCTCAGAAAGATGAAGTATTATGTTAACATTGAAATGAAAATTAAAGAGAAGTTAATGCCGACTGCATCGTAAATTATTGGATTCAAAGGTGACTGTAAATATTTGAAAGCATAATGGAGCCTGTACAGAACAACAATGTTACATATAGTATTGCAATGGATTGATGTATAAAAATAGTTTTCCCACAATCCTTCAAAGCGGTGATGATTTTTTTCCTTCACTCAGTCTAAAAATGCTGCAAGTTTTTGTATTATCTCTCATTTTTAGGGTCATAGTGGATTATTTATAGCTCAGGTATGTTGGCATGGTAACTAGTTTGGAATAGTAAGAGAAGTAGTACTTCTAAACGATTAATCACTTCTCTGGCGAATATTGTTTGTCCTGATTTCGAAATCTTACTAAAAGAAAACTGATGTAATTATAGAACGTGGTACAGTGTGCGACTTTTTAGTGATTTTTTTATGAATCGTGTTATCATTTCAATGCCACAGCAGTTATAAACATGTCTGTCTTTCTTTAGTTTTTATTTACTCGTTCACTTGTCTGAATCGAGCATCACATGACATGATGCCATTTGAAACACGCGCCGTGCCAATCTGTAGTCATTTGTCAATGTTTTTGAGAGATTTACGATATTTTAAATGAACGATTACATAACCAAATATTGCTTTAAAATTATCTACATAATTTTTGTCACATAAGCACATCTTCACTAGATTGGACAACTTGCATGTATTGGTATTTACGGTAGTTACTGACAATAACTTTGTGCCAAAATGTTTTTACTTTCGATTGGAACGCTTTCAGAATTGTAGAAAATCACAGCACGCTGTGTGTGCATGTTTAAAAAACACATTCCTTGTCTTGAAAATTACAGTAGTGATACCTGAATATAAACTGCAAATATATCTAAAAAAGCAACTTAATACAGAAAACAAGTCAGCCTCATATCTAAACTACAAAAGCAAAACCTGTACAAAAAAATTTGTTTGTTGTGATTTAGGTTTTTGGGTTGTCCATTTTTAGACATCAGTTTTGACAAAATCAAATTTGTTGGGGCTTTCGATATATAACCTACTAGATATGACCGATATGTTTTTTACCTACTGCTGCATTACATTTGAATGTACACCATAGTATTTACATGGGAATGAAGATGAAACCAGATACCAGAAGAACATAGGCATTTTTGTTCCAGGATGTGTAACCTTTAGGGGTCATGGAATGTTATTGCAATAGCCAGTATTTTTTGGGGTTGTTTTTTTCCCTATATATGTTTCAACTGTATTATAATGCATATTTTACTGGAATGTTTTGTACTTAACCTGTCAGTGCACTGAGTTATCAAAAACGGCTTTATCTGATTGTAGTCATATTAGTGACGATAAAGCCGAATAAAATACTGTTAAACAACAAAACTGTGGTTATTTTAATATTTAGAAACTAACAAAGGTGTGATGTCATTACATTTAGTTTCAGATCCAATCATTAAGTAATTTACATGTGCTTATTAAATGAGAACACAGCCAGTCAAATGTACCTTGACTGGCACATCTAAAATGAGTTTATGAAATACAAATGAAATAAAAAAATTATAAGCATTAACCAACGTTATTCAAATCAACTCGTGCATGAAATTAAGTGACGAGAACATTTTTTTAGTAACAAAAAATATTTATATTATGTTACTGTATTATACAAGTTGAAAATTTCATGCGCATCCAATTTGCCAGATGAGTCATAACAGGTGTAGAACCTACCCATCCAGCTTGGTGTCAAACTAAAATAATATTCGCTATAACTTCAGCTCTGAAAACAAACTAGAGCACTTTAAAAACTTCTCAGCCAAGGCAAACTTAATTCTGTCTTGAATCTACAACCTATGTTTTTTGTATTTAAAATTTTTCATTTCATTTGAAAATTAATATACTGAATCTTAGATTTTAATTTAAATATCCTAATTGACTTATTCAATAACACAGAAACCTACAATTTATTTAGCTAAAAGTAAATAACATTGGTATAAAACATTCATTACTGTGATGTATTGACTCAGGAACACACAAAACATCAAAGAAACCAGAGAGCTTTCAAGTTTAACTTGTTTATTCCGCCATTTTCAGTTACACCAGTTAACAGCACTACTTTTTACCACAGTCCCTCTATCACTATGATAGAGGGACTGTGTTTTTACATATCAATACACTTGGGTGATCAGGTGACATACACCATTACAAAAGCATTTTTGTTATTACCGGTATTATTGATTGATGATAACTAGGATGGTGTGATGTGACAAAATATTCTGCTTTTGTCAACTTTTATTTGCGATACCGTTTTGTGTATCCATAGCTTTTCTGTGTGAATAAAATCCTAATAACTAAAAACAAATATAAGGACACCAAATGTATCAGAAATAGCTATGCCACCATCACAAAGACTAAAGAAGAAAAGCTATAAACCCACGGCTAATCCAAAATGAATGTACCCTATAAATGTTTTGAAAAAAACTTCATGTTCTGATGATAAATAAAAAAAATCAGTACAAAAAATATAATATACATTTCAAATTATATTAAATTTGTCTTCCGTTACTTCCTACTCTGGTCACATATATGATTGAAGCGTCTGGAAAAAAAGAAGAAATCATTTCAAAGTAATATTCTGGTGTAACATCAATTTGTAGTTTGTATTTTGCAAAAAAATAAACTTGTTACCAGGCAATTCTATTTTTAATAAAATAGAAATCAAACCTATCAGGGAAATTCTGCAAAAAATGCGAGTGTTTTTAATATGTATACTTACGCTGCGTGGTGGGGTCGGCTTCTCTGCGTTCGACAGTTTTTACCCCAGTAGCAGTTTGGCCTGGAGGTTACTGACGCTGTAAAGATTGAAAAAAAATTGACTTGTAATAAGAGTACATTTAAGATTTTTTTGTGTCAAGTTTTGGCACATTTGAGGTTTGAAACATCAATAAAATAATAAATAAGTTCAAAATTAATTACGGGATTTAAAATTCAAAATTCAATTGCCTTGATGTCCTACTTGACTTTAAAGCCTGTATTCACCAAAAAATTGAGGTGTTTATCTAACTATGCACCCCTAGGCCCTATTCCACACCAATTTCTAGAATGGCAATAAGCTGACTAGTATTTTGCAAAAACATAGTTGAACTCTGGTGACCTTGCCCTTTGTTATATAATATAATTCCCTTTATCATAGTTTGTTTCAATATAAATATGCATTGTCATAATTAATTTTGAATACAAACAAGTTTTGGGGTTG